ATAATTTCGAATTTTCATGAAATCTCAGAACTCCTTACAATTTGCTCTGTCAAAGTTTGTTAGGTGTTTTTTTAACTCTGACAAACTATGGTTAAGTATTATTCAGGTTTCAGGTTATGCAAATAAATTCTTAAGGGGCAGAGCATGGCCAGATGGAAGAACTCCTGACACCAGCAATTAGAAGGCACTGTGTATGCCATCTTTTTCTCCTTAACAAATTTTCTGCACTAAGAAAGAAGCATGGAAAAACAAAGGAGGATTAAAAGTGGATGATAACACTGCATAAAGTCCACATAAAACTCAATGAGTTTTACCACACAGAATTGTGATAAAAGGCTTGACTGAAAGATGCTCTTAAGACTCACATGCTGCTTTGCTTTCCAATTTATTTTGTGATCTCTCATTTTAAGCTATATGTCTATACCATCCGGCATACTTAATTTGAAGTTCTATCTTGTATTTGTTGTTGTTATGTACCCTTAGGTTGGAGCCATTTCACAGCAACTCTAATAAGGCTTTCAAGGTAAATGGAATATTTAAGGAGTGGTTTTACCAGTTCCACACCCGTGTGGAACTGAGGAGGGATTTGAACCCAAGCCTCCTGAGTCCTAGTTTGCCACTCCATTCCTACACCACACTGTATCATCCTGTATTTACCTCCACTTTGAACAACCCAATTCCTTCAAGAGAACAATCAAGGATACTCAATGACTGCAAATTTCATCATGTAACAGAAAAGAGAATGCCTGATTTTACTTTGTCATACTTTTAGTTTATAAGGCAATTCATTCTGTATGTTTGCTTCTACTGTATATTATAATTCCTTCAACTTATCCTCCGGCATTATTGCTTAGTAGCAATTTAAATTTGGATGCAGCTTCTATTGTGGCTCACTTTTTATAGATAAGAGACATCTGATGAAGTGGCATCTAGTGCACAGAAGCTTATTACACAGTAAAGACACCAGCCTTTCATGCACATGGGACTCTAGTTTTATCTGCAATAATCTAATATGAATATCATTCTGGATGCTGTAGTAATCGTGCACTGGTTTAGGTCAGTTATTCACTATAATGCTTCCTATTTTAATAAGAGAGCACCAATTTTACCTGAGTTAAAACTGCTCATCCTTCTTCAAATCTAGATATGGCACAATATTTTTTAAGGGAGGACCCAATGTCAGAAGGTGTAAACACACATTTGTGACAATGTTGTCTTTTCTTTTGCTACTCAAAGTATATACAATGTTTGTAATAACCAATTTCCCATGTGCACCTAAACCACAACACAATAAACACTGTCAGCCTATAAAATACACATGTAACACTAATACTGGACACAAACACATTCTTGTTGGGTTGGGCGCAGGTGAATTATTTTCAGAGCCGGGCAGGAACTCTGCTTCTGTATCGCCTTAATGAAAGAGAAAGGAAGCAAAAGAGCAACAGATGGTAGAACTGAAAAATTAGAAAGCTCGCCATTAACGGCCATGTCCCCCCCCCGCCCAAACAAACAGGGGATTAAAGTCAAAAGCAAAAGGCAATCAACAGCATTTCAGGAGGATTAAAATAATACATTAGCGCAATCAAGGAGCTGACATAGTGTGCCAGCAGACACACACACCCCTTTCCCTTTTTTTTGCCTGCTTGCTTGTCGCTGGAGGCACTCAAGTCTCGACTAGTGCCAGGGATGACAACATGGGGTTTCTCTCACTCACTCACTCACTCACTCACACACTCACACACACACACACACATCCTTATAGTCTGAGGGGCCCCAGGGACGGCCGGACACCAACCCCACTTTCCCTTCCCGACATCCCAGCCGCCTCGTTTCGTGGCATCCCACGCTGCTTTGCCTCCCCGCCCCTTCCTCCCCGCCACCTCTTGAGGAGGCTCTCCCCTCCCCTCGGCTCCCCTTTGTGTTTCGGGTCCAGGCACCTACGCCCTACCTGCCCGTGGTGAGGCGCTGGCGGGCGCCGCTTCCGTCCTTGCGCCCAAAGAGGGAGAAGGCAGAGAGGGCGGCGGCGAGGGCGAGAGCGAAGAAAAGGCCGGAGCCGCCGAGAAGCAACCTCGTTGCCCCGGCAACCCTGGGGGCCCGCCTCCGCTGTGGAGCAATCCGCTGTGATTGCTGGCAACTTCTCAAGACCCTCTCGGAGGGAGGAGGAAAAGCCTAGGCCGGCGGCGACGTCACTTCGACGGAGGGCGCGCGGGCAGGCGGGGATGATTGGCGGAGCGAAGGAGTCTGCACGGCCCGGGCAAGGGGGCGAGCGAGGCAGGGGCTCGGGGTTCAGCAGGAGAGCGCGAGAGGGTTTTGGAAAGCAACCTGCCTTGACTTGCACGAACGCTCCCTCGGCCTCCAGCAGCCACACGCCCAGCGAGCTGTGCTAGTGGTGGCTTCCCACAGGTGCCACTTGTTTTTTCACTTACTGCCGCTGCAAGGGCCCGTTTAAGAACCTGCTTTAGTTTGGTGACAGCCTTTTCTGTCTTCATTTCTGCAGCCTCTTCGTGCTGCTGGAATCAGGGCATCTCCATCACTGCCATCTCTCCTCTCCCTCTCTCAGTTCTGTTCACCTGCTTTTACAACTTCTGCAAGGATTTCGGTGCGTTGTTTTGGCCATTCGTAATAATGTCAGTGCATAATATCCTATATAAAACAAGAAGTGTTTATTCCCCTCCCCACTTTTTCCCAGCTTCATACTGGTCCTTTCAGCTGTACAGCTTTTCCCCAAAAGAACATATATATTTAGACAACAAAAAAAAAGCAAAAAATTAATAACAAAAATGTGAAACCACTGAAACCATATGGAAAACTCACATTAAATGTAGCAGTCTTTCAGGTGCAGCGATACTCGTGTTGTTTCTTTTTGTTTTTATTTTTGTCTGGGTATGCTTGCTCACACTAACACGGCTACTTTGAATACTAGCACATATTGTGTTCTGTTGCTTCGTATAGTAAGTAACAACCAGAGACAGGCCATTGAATCAGTGGAACATACAGAGGAGTTGACTCACCAGCTCTCTATTATTTTCCCAGGATCATGGGCTCAGAACGATTACTAGTGTATCTCCAAACATATTGACATGTACTATGTGTATGCGCTTTGTTACACTCTCATACAACTGTACTTGTGGAACAGAGAAAGGAAATTCCTATCCAAGTACTCTCCTAAAAAACCGCAAAGAAAAAAATGGAAGGGAGAAATGTTGCAGTCTATGGGCTGTTTATTAAAATTTTACTTTAGCAGTATTTCACACAGGAAGTACTTCTGGCTGCTTCTCATGGGCTTCGAGAAGTGCATTGTTGCAGTGGGAGCCATACCTCCTCCCTGACTTCTTCATTTTTCAAGTTAACAATGTGCTGCATAGAACAGCGTGTATAAATGTGTTACCTTACATGCACTATGAAGTGGTGAAATACCTATGACAGCCTTTAAATATGCTTTTGAATGTATTGCTAGACACAATTTAGTTTTACTGTGTTGCACAGAATTACTCCAGTATTCAGCACTGGTTAGGCCTTGCCTCAAGTATTGTGTCCAGTTCTAGACACCACACTTCAAGAAGGATGCTAACAAATTGGAACAAGTTAAGAGGAGGGCTACAAGGATGATCAGGGGGCTGGAAACCAAGCCTTGTGAGGAAAGGCTGAAAGAACTGGGCATGTATGTTTAGCCTTGAGAAAAGAAGGCTGAGGTGTGATATGATAGCAGTTTTCAAATATTTGAAAGGCTGTCATACAGAGGAAGGGCAAAATTTGTTCTCGATCACCCCAGAGTGCAGAACATGTAATGATGGGCCCAAGTTAAAACAAGCCAGATTTTTGTTGAATATCAGGAAAATGTCCTGACTATTAGAGCAATAGGACAGTGGAACCAGCTACCTCAGAAGTTGGTGAGTGCTCGATCACTGGAGCCATTCAAGAAAAACTTAGATAATCACCTGGCAAATATGCTTTGATTGTATTCCTGCACTGAGCGGGGGGTTGGACTTGATGGCCTTGTAGGCCCCTTCCAACTTTACTTTTCTATGATTCTATGATAAGCTTACTCACACTGCTTACTGAGAAGATATGGGAGAAAAACAACAGAGTCTGTCATTCTTTCCACATTGCCAGAGTAGTATGCGCAAAACCTGAACACCTCCCTAAGAGTCCTACAGAACTTTATAGCTCTAGGGCGAAACTTTTCGGGCTCACATTTGGGAGAAAGCAGATGGTGTGCTGCCATGGCGGAACTGGAAGTGGTGGTGGCAGAACTGGAAGTGGTAGCAGAAGGGGGAATCCCAGCATGGAGGTGCTGGTGTACTGACTCACATAGAGAGCTCTCCTCTCCAGAACTACACAGCACGCCCTCATGCATGTGAAAGCAACAGAACAGGAAAAAGAAGGAGCAAAAGATGGAGCGTGGGGGGGGAGTACCAATCAGGCAACTTATGGCTCGCGTGTCGGCAGAAAGGGCTCCATGTGCCAGCTGTGGCACACGTGCCATAGGTTTGCCAACGCTGCTGTAAGGGAAAATCAGAAGCCTATGTTCATCACAACTGCCATTTATTCCAATTAAGAGTTAATTCCAGAATGAAACCAGACAGTCATTTCCAATCATATTAAAATTCATCTGACTATCAAGGTATAAGTCTTTTCACAGTTGCAATAATTGCAGGCAACATCAGCTTGTCTAACTCTACAAGCTTACAAGCTTTATCTATCTACGTTGCTTTTGTGTTCCGTATGCACAAGAATACTTAACACCCAAAAATCTTACAACTGTGGAAAACCATAGACATAAATGCTTAAAATATATGAAAACCAAACTTCTCGTAGGCAAATACTTAAGTCAGAAATCATTCCAAGATACAGCAGGCAACATCAGCTTGTCTAACTCTACAAGCTTACAAGCTTTATCTATCTACGTTGCTTTTGTGTTCCGTATGCACAAGAATACTTAACACCCAAAAATCTTACAACTGTGGAAAACCATAGACATAAATGCTTAAAATATATGAAAACCAAACTTCTCGTAGGCAAATACTTAAGTCAGAAATCATTCCAAGATACAGAAGCACAAAAAAATACAAAAAGAAAAGAAGGATATTTTAGTTACATTGTAAAAATGCAGGAGCTTATGGTATGAAGTCATCTTCAATAGGTCAGGCCTTCTTCACTGAGGCACCAACTCTCTGGAACCAGCTCCGGGTGGAGCTGTGTCTGGATCCATCTCAATGTTTAGGAAAAAAATCTTGCTTTTACAGAGGCCTCCCTTAGTGACCTTGCCTGATCCCATGCCTTGTGCCCCAACCATTACTGGGATAATATACTTCTTGTTATTACTGTTTGAATCTTTAGGTCTGTTTATTTATAATCTTACTGTTCTTGATTATTTTATCATGCTGTGAACTACCCAGAATAGTGCACTACACTAATAGGGTGGTATGTAATTTAAACAAACAGACGGACGGACGGACGGATGGACAGACAGACAGACAGACAGACAAACGAACAAAAATAAATAAATAAATAAATAAATGTTACTGATCAAAGCTACAATTGTGTCTTCTTTTGGGCTTCCTGATGATTCAGGAGTTCTTCCCAAACACATGTTGCAACAGCTTCAGTCTAACACATGGAGCATGAGAAATGTGTGAATGGACATATCTTCCTGTATATGAATTTATAACCAATGGATATCCATTTATAATTTTAAAAAGGATTCATGGAACTTGTGCTGGTGGTGATCAAAGCTACAATTGTGTCTTCTTTTGGGCTTCCTGATGATTCAGGAGTTCTTCCCAAACACATGTTGCAACAGCTTCAGTCTAACACATGGAGCATGAGAAATGTGTGAATGGACATATCTTCCTGTATATGAATTTATAACCAATGGATATCCATTTATAATTTTAAAAAGGATTCATGGAACTTGTGCTGGTGGTGAAGCCTTTGACAATGAGTGGCTGAAATGCAGCAATAATCCAGAGCAAAAACAGTGAACAGAAGAAGGAACAATCAAGGTGGGCAGATGGATGTCCTAAGAAGCGACCAGCCATCAGGAAGAGATGGCAAAGGACAGCTAATTGAAATGATGAAAAATATTGGGGTTGGAATCCAATACAAAAAATTTGAAGATTAGTCAGAAAGGATAGGTGCACATAGCCACATTGCACTGCTATGTTCACAGTCTTCAGTGTGTAGGGCAGAATTTTTTTGTGGAAGATAGTCAGAATCCTGTTTGGCTATGCAACTGCATAAAAGTGATTACATAAGCATTTTGCTCATCCCACCAACTCCTCTTTGACTATCTGATCTTGCAATAGTTGCAAAACTGGGCATGCAGCTGGTCATGTGACTGATCACATAAAGGAGAGCCAGGATTGGTGGTGGTGGGGAGAATGCTACACCACTGCCTTTATGCACATAGTTTTCTTCATCTGGATTTTGGCAGCTGTATAATGTTTAGTATTGCAAAGTACCCAGTCCTTTTGTTGTTACAAAGTTCTCCTTAAGAAACTATCAACAGGGCTGTGCAAAACAAGAGAAGAGATGGCCATGTCTCCCAATTTTGGATACCACAATATTTTCTCAATTCTGGATGCCACTGTGGTTCTAATTCTATCTCTCTCACACACACAAAAATAATTTTTGTTTTGTTACATCTGATTGCTCGTTGCTTGAAGATTTTTATCAGTGAGGATTCATTAATTTGAAAAATGCAGTGTTTGAAGTGAGATATTTTTAAAGTTCTGGTGGTGCTTTTTCATCTATGATAGCTTAATCTCACAGATAAATTATTTAATTAATAGGCGCTGTCTTCAAGATATGTTGGAGTTATCTCTCCTTCTACACAACTCAGTTACATGCTTTTAACAGATACTAAATTGGGCTATTTAAATGTGCACAGAAATATCTTATCTGAATCCAAGCTAGCTACAAAACATATAATTTAAATTATTTTTTGTTCCTTCCAGACTTTGAGTTATAAACAGCTATGAAAAAGAAGAACATTTTCTAAGCTGATAAATATACAGTCATATAGTGGAACCAGGCCTGCTAGGATT